GTTTAGGGTTGAGGGTCTAGGGTAGGTTTGAACATGATTTTATTGTTTTATTACTGTTAACCCTTATATAGTCCTTATAAGGCCATAGATTTTTCACTTTATAAGGCCCCCAAACCTACCGAAGTAGTTGTAGCCCTTCAATTGGCTGAGGCTTGCCATGTCATCGCCAACACAGAGGAATTGCCAGCCATTCCCACGGAGCTCTCAAAGCAGGCTCCACGCGATGTAGTTACATTAGGGTTATGGGGGTGACATAGGGATGATGATGGAAACTACTATTCAGTGTTTGGNNTTTCGGGTTTAGGGATTTAGGAGTGGATGTGTCAGGCCTGCATGCTGGTTGGCATCTGCTTGAAGCGAAATCCGCAAGAACGGTCCAGGGCTCAGCACTTTTCAGATGGAATATGACATGACTGGTCCTGTTAAGGATTACTTGCACTTCAGTCATTCCCAAGGCCAACAGCGCTGGAACTGAACAAGAGCAAGATGCTGCGCACTTGAACTTGGGAGAAACTCCCAGAGGTTCCAGCAGGTTTCCGCATCATGCTTGCCTTAGAAATTTCAAGCCAGGGGTATGCCGACCTGAAACTCAGGGGCTACCCTTTGGATTGTCTGCACCCGTGGACCACAGTAGGTCAGAGATAATGGACTGGTCAGTGCCCTCCGGCTCTAGTGTCGTCTCTTCAGGTCCTCGGGCGGTCAGTCTGCTGTTCCATGTCTCAGGACGGTGACAGCAGACCACAAGATGCCGATCTAAAGATACCAGATGCACGAGGAAATAGTCGCAGCCTAATTCATCCCATGCAATTCGACTGCAGGGTTCCTGGCCAGATCTTAGCTAACAAGCCGCGTGTATCGCCCATATGGACTTGGCATGGACACTTTCAGCTTGCCAGGTTCAAGATGCGTCCAACAGTCTTCTGGTTGCATGCCGTTTCACACTGCTGCGGTCGTGCACTCTTTGGAGATAATGCCACGAAGAAGTGCGGTCCAGGCTGCTTCAGACGATCTTAGAGTGCCAGGAAAGCAAGATGTCCGCACTTCTCCTATACAGACACGACGTTGACACGATGTTGCTAGGGGCCTGGAGTTCCATGCGCGAGTGATAGCAAGTGCAGCGAGCGCTCAGCCAGAGATGCTGCAAGACGTTGTGGAACATCCAGATCCAGTCCTGCACTATCGCTTAGCGCGGTCAGGCTGGGCTTATTACCCCGCGGGAGCAAGAGATGTTGGAATCTGTATCCAAAGCCACCGAATTAGCAACCTGACAAGGTGTACCAACAGCGGGTACCAACAGCTCTGCTAGCTCAGCAGCTAGCACCAGGAGTTAAGCCTTGCAAGCTGTGGAGCATTCACGGTAACGTTTCTTGACAAAGTGAAGGTTTGTAAAGGCCACCGCCATCTCGGAAAAGAAGGGTGGTTGTTGGAATCGCTGAGTGAATTTGCAACAGAACT